CCCGGCCCGCAGGGTCCGTCTCAAGATGTGCAGAGGTCTCGCAAATCATGAGTGATGGAGAAATCGACTGGGGAGTTCAGTTACTGCTTTCTGGAACGCAAGCAGTACAGATCACCCAGTGCAATTAATGGGCACTAGGTTGAAAACAGCCATCAGGGAGCAGGACTTCACACAGTGCATAGACAGCTGGTGAGGCTCGTTGCCAGGGAATGTTGTGAAGGCCAACATTTTAACAGGGTTCATAAGAAACCACAGAAGTTCCTGGAGGATCCATTTATCCGTGGCTATTAGCCAAGGTCATCTGGGTGTCCATAAACTTCTGACTGCCAACAGTCAGGGCTGGAAGATGGGGGATGATTTACTTGAAAATTTTTCTGCTTTGTTCCCTTTGAAACATCTGGCACTAGCTGCTATTGGAAGTTAACTGTTTTTTGGCATTTACGGCTGGGTGGGAACTAGGGAGGAACGGACGTTATATTAAAACACTGCTTCATATTAGATTTTTCTGAAATATATAAAAAAAAGCTACATGTTGGACTTGAACTACATGACTGTCCATTTAAGAAATGGGAAGCAAGAAATAGCTTTAGTAGGCAAAACAGTGTTCTTTACGGGGCATAATGTTTTCTCTCCTATGCACAGATACTGGGCAAACTTGAAACTTTGGTTCAAGCAAAAGATCAGTAAAGAAGAGTTTGATCTGGAAGCTCGCAGACTCCTCACCCAAGACAATGGTAAGAGACAGTCCCCTGGGAGAGCTCCTTTTTCTCTGCATCTCAGATTTCCCCAGAATACCAAATTCTGGGTTAGTCGCTGTTTGCTACAGAACAATGCAGCCACGTGAAGTGTGACTCCACAACTCCGTCTGCTCCTCTGGAACATACTGCCTCTTGGGCCACATAGCTACTGTTGAGATGAGAATCTTCCCTTTATGGCTCCTAATTTCATATAGAGGCAAAAAAGTTTGTCTAATAAATTAACTGGGGGTGTCCTCAACCAGGGGAACAAATGGGAAAACATGGTTGTGGGAAGTGTAAACACAATCACTTGATGGGGTAGCTTTAAGTAGCTGCTTTTGGATTGTGTCTGCCATTTTGCTAATGTGAGTCTCAGTCTTCAAATACCATTTTCTCTCCTGGTATCTCTGTGAGTCAATGGTCTTTCTTTTCACAGTCCATTCTCACAATGATTTCCTCCTGGCCATTCTCACCCGGTGCCAAATCTTGGTTTCTGCACCAGGTAAGTGAACAAAAGATCATATGGCATACCTTTGGGACGCGTTTGTGGTGGGCTTTGTTTTTAAGCTATATGCTGTGACTTATGTGCTCTCAAATTGCATGCTCTCCCTTGCTATGGCTTGCGTGCCGTATGACACTGAGAACCCTGATTGCCGCTTTTAGTTACGACTGTGGAATAAATATGATCATCTTCGTTACAAAACGAGCATTTCACACGCTTAACTACAGACTAGTGCCCTGCAATTCCAAGAAGGGGACCCAGGTTTGATTTCTTGTCTCCTGTTGCTTTGGCTGTGAGTTCGACAAGGCACGGTGCTCTGTAGGGCTGAGGTTTTGCTCCATGTTCTCCAGCGATCTGTGAGAATGGCGGCAGGCTCTAAAAGAAACCGGGCCTTGTGTCAGACCAATGGGAACTGAGCCAGGGAGGGAGGCAGCACTTAGAGACATTTTTTTTCCTCCTGTCTTGCCTTCAGAATAGAGGGGAGGGTGGGAAGCAGTTGGTTGTGAAGTTTTTAATTAAAATGTCGCCAGTGACTTGAACATTCTTCTGGTAAGCCCTTGCAGCTGCTATCACATTATGTGTGGTGCTGCACCTGTTTGTGGTGTCTTGCGAGTTTCAGTGTTGCTGATATCAGAATGTATCTTGGAAGGCTGGGCCAGAAAATTAGCCAGAAGGCCTCTTAAGAGAGAGTGTTTCAAACTGCGAATTAGAGCATGAATTTGAGACTGCTATGAGGTTCAGGGACTAGTATGTTAGGGTCTTGTGCGGAGCCAGCTGTATCATTTATGCTGACTGTATAGTACACTGTAACCTGGCTAATCAGGTACCAAAATCTGTCCATGTAACCTTTGCTGCTTCTCACTTGATTTTTTTTTTTGCATTGGGTTGGCTGCAGCAAATACACTGCATGTGATTTGTTTTGTAACCAAACCTCTGAATAAATCTGGACAGCGTGTACGGCAGACTGACCATCCTTTCCAACGGGTCACGGCAGTGCCTGGGATTGGGCTGTTCTGGTTCCATTCCCAGGAGCGGCACAGCTCTGGCGGTCGGGGAGCTTGGCTCCTGGTCAGACACCTAAATGTCTGGCCAGATTTTCAGTAAGGGCTTGGAGCACTCAGCACCTCCTGCTGAGAACAATTATAATGTCACCTCCCAGGAGTGAAGTGAGGATAAATCCATAAAAAGTCGGGAGCACTTGGATCTTACAGCAATGGGTTCTGTGAAGTCCTCGTCAGACAAGGCATCACACAAAGTCTCTTTTCAATAAAAATCACACTAGAGCCGCTCACGTTGGGTTTCATGTTGGTGATTTCAGGGGAGGTTTGTGTTAGACACCTGAGAGTACTAAGCTTGTGGAAATTGCTTGTTTCAGTGTTTTTGTTCCCGGGGAGACTTCAGAAAAGTTAGCTGCCTTTTTGCTTTCCCATTCTGAGGGGCTGCCTCCTGAAGTGTTTCACTAATCCCACCTTTTATAGAGACCAAGTTCTTTTTCAGTGCTCTTGGGCTGACAAAGCCTTGGACCTGTATTCGTCTACACCTCACACTATGAATTATATCCGAGTTGGTAATCTGTTTTGATTCAAGGGCCAGTCTGACCATGTTCCATTTGTCTCCAAAGAAAGAGGGTGAGGGGGGGTGGAGAAAGGAATAAAGCAACAATGGAAAACGGAAGATGATGCTCAGAGATTCTCCTAACCCTGTGTCTGTCTTCTGGCCAAGAGACTAAAATACTGAAAAGCAAAGAAATAAGCATTTAGTACGGGTGGGTTCTTTTCTGAAACGCATCCTTGAAGGCTCATCTCTCATAATACCTGTCTTTCCCTTTCTACTCTTGCTGATGTAGAATGTGCGCTGGGAAATCTCACAAGCCTGGAGAGAAGCAGCGCTTTCCTCTTTCTCCACTTGTTGCCTTTGCTCACAAGGCTAGAAACTGGCTAGCTCCACAATGGATTGGTTCCCCCTGTTCCCCCCCAGTACCGTCTCCGCAGTGCCAGCTGGCCCCCCCCTTGCCGCTGCTGCCTCTATTGCGCCGCTGCTGTGGACATGGGCTACTGGACCCAGTGCAAGCCAGGACTAAGCAAGCCCGACCCAGTCCCGGTTCATACTGGGTCCGGGACCTACCCCCACCACTGCTCTGCAGTTGAAATATAGTAAGGGGCGGGCAGGCAGCCCAGCTCTTACATTTAAACTGCAGAGCCGCAGCAGGAGCACCTTCCCTATCAACTCATCGTGTAGTCGATACAACATACAGACGGTACAATTTGTACTTAAAAGAAGTACTCGGGATCGTTTTCAGAGGGATAAGGCAACACGCCACATTTATTGATCTCACGTAGAATAATCAATACTTATCATATGCATATGAGATATGTCACTCATGCGTGCGCGCGCGCACACACACACACACAAGCACACTCCGTCTTGCTCTTGTTACCAACAAGTTGCTCCCCTTAACTTCACTGGCCAGGTGAGTTAGATGGGGGAGGGGTGGAGCCGGGCTTCTGCCGATCCGGATCAATGCTCCGATGGTGACAAGACGAAACCCGGGGCCCTCTGCAAGACACCTCACTTTTATAGCAGCTTCCTTCTTTTATGCAAATATATCCCAGATTCAAAATCTGGGTCTGTGTCCATTGGTCCCTTTGTGCTGCTTCTCTCGGGTGTTGTCTGTTCAGAGAGGGGGTTTTCCAAAGAAGGTGCCTGCTTCCAATCCCCAAGGCTGTCAGTATGTCTGCTCTTCTTTCTTCAGCCCACTTGACACCTTGGGTCTGGCTTCCACTCCCTCTTCAACTGGTGTAGCTGTCTGCGAAAAAAGCACAGTATAGTTCAGATAACTTCCCTCTGAAGTAATAGAATATTGCTCAGCTACATGGTGGTAGTAGGTGAGAGTGTATAGTAGAAAGGGTACGTGCATTCCAGTTGGAAAGGGTGGACGTGCTCTTCAGAGGTGTCAGAACTGTGTGGTTTCGTCTGATTTTTGAGTTGCATGAACTTAATTATATTGACTCCAAATTGGAGTGACCTCCCCCCGCCCCACACACACTTCCCCTTCTCTCCTATTTTCAGAGGGCCCTGGGCCTCTGCCATGGACAGGGGGCTCTGCGACTAAACCTGGAAAGCCCAAAGGAAAGAAGAAGTTTTCTTCAGTTCGGCAGAAGTTTGATGTAAGTTTTTATTCCGCAAAGGGTCTTGGCGCTGCTAACTGCTCCAGGTAGGAAGAGCTGGCAGCCTGTGTGCGTGTTAGCGGCTTGGCCGAGACACTTCGTTCCAGCAGAGCCTTTTGCAGTAAAGCGGTAAGTACTAAAGTGAGCGAAGGTCGCTGTTCCACATGATCGAGTTACCCAGAGTGACTTGCTGTGTGAGTGAGGCTGGCTGGGCTACCCTATGGAAGTAGAATAATGGGTAAAAATTGCTCTAGCGATTCAGACAATATTTCTTCCTCTTCCCCCAGTTTTGGCTGAGACGCTACCAGCTGCTTCTCAGTGGATTTTTTTTTCTGTGCTAAGTGAGGGTGTGAATCTGATTAATGGAGAAATGCGTATGTTTGGGGGTGGACTTAAAACTTGCTTTGTTTATTAAAAAAAAAAAAACTCTGATAAGGTGAGGTCACAGAAAACCTCCCGGGGTGCTGACTCGGCCACTGCCGCTCGCCTTCCTGCTCTCCTCACCACCCGGTCCTGCTGGGCCAGCTCCCTGGTCTCCCCCAGCCAAGGCCCGAGCTGAGATCCCTGCCCCACTGAGAAGCAGCACAGACACTGAACCTCTTCAGGTTCAAGGAGAGTGCAATATTGGGCCCAGCTTCCTGGGATCCCACTCCTCAAATGGGATCAAAGCCCCCAGTGAATTACCTGGGTAGCAATGAAAGAGAGAATGTACACGCTGGTTGCTCCTCCAGGTAACAATTATTTACACTGGGCTTGATAGAAAATAAAAGTGGTTTTATTAAATAGGAGCGGCAGGATTTGAGTGTAATAGGTGAGCACAGGCAGAGCAAAGTAGGTTACAAATCAAAAGACACAAAACCGCTTGGCCTAATTCAACACCTCTCATGCACACACTTGAAACCCACGAAGTATTCCCCACTCCATAGGTCTAATTTTACACACACACAAATGATACCTACATCAAAATAAGGTAAACAGATCCAGCGGCTCATGCCGCGAAGATCGATGGGTTACATGAAATAATTTGCTCAAAGCACTTTGAGTTATGTATATTCGTAAGCCCATTTTGTAAAGCTTGGGGGGGCCCAGTCACAATCTCTACTGTAGAGGTGGATTTTTTTCAGGAGTCTACGGCTGTGCAGTGCTATCTTGAGGTTTTGTCAGGACAGGGTTATTTACAAGATGGAAAGTGAATGATTCCACTAGAGTGAAGGCCTTGGTGATGGCCAGCTGTCAGTCAAACCCTGCTGAGAGAGGAGAATTCTGGTAATGCTCCGCTCAGGGCCACCTGTCTGCTGCAAGGAGGGAAGGGGAAAAGAAGTCTCTTCTTCTCGCTCCCTCATACTTTTCCCTGCCCCATAAATAACTTATGTGCCTGTCCCTGCTATTAGTATTCCTGAGTAGCATGAAGCTGACACGCTTTCACTGCTACCCAGGAAGGTCCTGGTAACAGCTGTAAAACTACCGGATTTCATGTCAATTCCACTTGGCTTCTGCTTTCCAAAGCCGTTTGTTCTCTGTTTGCAGAATCTGCTACCACTAAATGAAAGCGGAAGTCCTCAAAATTAGCAGAACAGCTTCCCACTCATGTGTGGTGATTGTTGTTTTTCTGTCTGATTTAAATAAATATTAGTTAGATTTATGGTTATTCTTTATGGGTGTGTATAAAGCTTTTATAACTCCCTCAATCCACGGATGTCTTTACAAACTCTAGTTTAAACATATGATATTTTGGGATGATGGACAAACAGCTGTATCACAGCATGCAGCAATGTTCAGGGGGAAAGGTTAGATGAACTGACATGTTGTGGTAACTGTTGGTCCCAGGATATTGGAGAGACAAGGAGGGGAAGGGAATATATTTTATTGGACCAGCTTGTGATAGTGAGACCAACTTTCAAGTTCCATGTGGCTTCAAAGTTTCTGTCATCAGCAGGAGTGGGTCCCACTAAAGCTATTCCCTCCATTCACCTTATCTCAGGGAAATGCAGCGTATATAGAATAACCACATTTGGAACTCGACTGAGCTGCCATGCTTAAATCCCTGCCTTTTTAATTGACCCAGGACATTCTGTACCTCAGTTTCTCATCTTCCCCGAAAGCTGGACCCGAGCACGGGAATTAGTAATGCTGAAATGACAAGTGTCGTTTGTCTGACAGCACCGATTCCAGCCTCAGAACCCACTGTCGGGAGCCCAGCAGTTTGTGGCAAAGGACCCACAAGAAGATGACGATTTGAAGCTGTGTGCGCATACCATGATGCTTCCGACGCGGGGCCAGCTGGAAGGAAGGATGATAGTGACGGCCTATGAGCACGGGCTGGACAATGTCACCGAAGAGGCAGTGACTGCTATTGTCTATGCCGTGCAGGTTAGTAGGGCCTGCCGCTGACAGGGCTTTTGTGTGTGGTGTATGGCGGGGCAGAGCGAGGGGGGAACTGGCTTCCCTCTCTTTGCAGGTGGCTTAGAGAATCCAGGCTGCGTGTTTCACCCAAATTGGCACCAGCAGTTATTCCTGCAGTGCTGCAGCTCAGAGTCAAGGATCTTGGCTTCCTGCACATGTGCGGTTTGCAGATGCTCCGAGTGAAACACGACAGGCCCAGTGTGAGACTGCTTTTGAAAAGGCAAACCATTCCTCTGGTGTGCGATGGATTTCTAAAGCGGCCGTGCGTTGCTAGCATTGGGTTGTACTTCAATTTCTGTCCAGGGCCCTTTCGAACAGTCGCTTTTTAGGCACGCCGGGCGGTTGCCAAACTTGTCTTCTCTTGGGGCTGAAGCCTGGTGGCTAAATCAGAGTGGCTGAACCTGAGGTGCTGATTACATGTCATTCCTGTGTCTTCCGTGTGAGTCTGAGCATCTGACCAGCCCACCCAATGCAAGCAGCTACTGAGAGCGTGTGCTTCGGGGGACTCGCTCAGATTCAGAGGCCTGTCCCAGCTCCACATCCGGCAGTACGACCAGATGTGGGAGCAACTTTCTGCTTGTCCCTTCCATGCCTGCACCCTCTTTCCCCCCAGCAGCGACACCGCCGAAGTGAGGCCAGCTGTTAAAGCAGAGTGCCGCCTTCAGAACAGCTTTCCATGCAGCATTCCCATGCACCGCTTGGGGCAGAGTGTGAAACCCTTTCTTGCCCTCTACACAGTGCACTTGTCCGTGGCGGGAATTTCCTGACATTTAAGAGACACTTTTAAAGTTGGCACTGGGAGATCTCAAATTAGAGCTGTACGTTTCCATTCCCAGGCAAGGGTGCACAGTACTGTTCACTGGGTGGCTTGTGCTTTGTGTACAAACAGGGTGATGACATTGACACCACTCCTGCTCCCTTGAGGCAGGCTTCATGCAAAATGTGATATCCTCCTGGTTTGTAGGAACAGGAAGGGAAACACATGAGCACGTGCTAGCAAGTAAATCAGCACACTGGCTTTGTTTTGAATGGCTTGCCCTTCCGAGGAACTGGGATTTTTTTTGGGTGGTTTAGCTGGTGGGTTTTTTGTTTTTGTTTTTTCAAGGCTATCTTGATTTTTGCAGCTCCAGGTAAAGAAACCCAGTCACTACAAAGTGCATCCTTTTCCAGATACGTGAGGCAGAGGGATGCTATTGAACGCACTTCCTATAAACTGTTGCCGGGTTGTGCCTCTGGTCACGGAAGCTATTCATACAACAGATTCCACCTGTTAAGTTCATCCTTTTCCAGATACGTGAGGCAGATGGATGCTATTGAACTCTCTTCCTATAAACTGTTGCCGGGTTGTGCCTCTGGTCACGGAAGCTATTCATACAACAGATTCCACCTGTTAATAGCTAATTATTCATTTTACTGTGTCTTTGTACGTGAGCGAAGTCGTTTGGGATGTCCTGACTGCCACAGCACCCAGGTGGAAAGGGATAAACTGGCCTATGTGACAACACTGCAAACGATGCTAACGGTCTGGTGTGTCCTTGCAGAATCACCTTAAGGATATCCTGGCATCGGTCGTATCCCGGAGGAAAGCCTATCGCCTGAGAGACGGCCATTTCAAATATGCCTTTGGAAGCAACGTGAACCCCCAGCCTTACCTGAAGAACAGTGTCGTTGCCTACAATAATCTAATTGAGGGGTAAGTGAGCTGACGCGGCACTACCTCAGCATAGACGCAGCAGCTGGGGTAGGAGACTGAGCCTGCAGCTGATCCATTTAAAAAACAAAATCTCTGGGGGAAACATAGTGGTAATATTCCGAAAGGGCAGATACTGGAGAACTATCCCTACTGGGTGGAGAAGGACAGGGGCTTAGCACAAGTGCCTTGGTGAGAAGTCTGTGCCTCTCCCCAACATCCTCACCTGCTAGGAAGACACTGGAACACGTGGGCGCTCCCTCTAGATTGTCGGAGGGACTCCGTTTTTCTTCTAAGCCTCTGGTTAGCAGGGCCGGCGTGTGGAGTTGGTTTCTCCGCACAAGGCCTGGGCCCTACAAATAAGCATGCTGGCCTTGCTTGTTGATAGGCATGTGCTTTATCTGAAGCACAGACTCTGGCTGCTGGAAGGGAGAAGGAGCTTTCACCGGGGTACCGATGAAATGAGAATGCCCCCAGCAAGCACAGCGAGGAGCCCTTCCCTGCTCTCCTGGCAGCTGCCACCGAGAGGTCCGTGCCACTTCTGCAGCCTCTTTGGTGCCGTCTGCCTTTGTTGCAGCCTGTAGCTCTCCCAGACGGCCCCGGTGCGGAACTGACAAAGGTGCTGGCCCACGGTGACTGCAGGACTGTTTTGTCAGCAGTAAAATGATCAGCAGTTATGCTGATTTGAGTCTCCTGCTGCTGCCTCTCGGGAATGCCAGGAGCAACAGCGACAGGTACCTGGCGTATGTCTGCGAGTTTCAGAAGGCTGCATAGTTGCTTCTGGAAGGTTATCGTCCCTGCATAGGCAGTGCTGTTTTGAAGGTGGCTTTGGTTTGCATGAAAGAGTAAATTCGGCAGAAATTCTGTGTGTTGCGCTCATGCTTCTCCCACTATCCTGCCCCCTCGCTTTGGGGAAAATTTCCAGCTCTTGCTGGCAAATGGATTTTTCAAGATCTAATAATGCAGTGCGTGTCTGGGGTACCTCTCACAGCCCTTGCTGGGCATTAACGCCAAGGGAAGAGAGGACAGGCCGTTCCTGGAGACATTTCAGGTTAGAGGGAGGGGGTAATGTCCTGAATTCTGTTTTAGGACTAATTACGTAGTGGTTCCAGGGTACAGGCTTGATGCCCTATCTCCACAACATCCTGTCACAAGCCCATTGTTGGCACGCGCAGACCTCAGTGATGGCGCCAGGCCAGGTTTTTTGCCCTCAAGAGCCCGTGCGAGCTGCACAGACCAGCGTCTCCAGGTACAGTCATACACAGGGCTCGACAAATAAAGCAATCTACTCGCCCATGGCGACCCAGAAGAGCCGGGTTCGTGTGATCTGCGCATGCGCGGATCGCCGGACAGTGCGGCTGGCAAGCGGGGCTCACCGAGCGGGTGATACACACTTGCCAAGTGGCAAGGGCTCAGTTAGCAGTAGGACTTTCTGTTGCCCCCTGATGCTGTTTTGGGGTCCCTTGCCTCATCCCTTGTGTATCTGGGATAAACAACGTACATACCAGTGCTAATCCGATCAGAATGGATGTGGCGTGTCAGTACCATCTCTGCATCCGTTTTGTCTTCTTTCTCTCATCACTGTCTGAGGAGGTAGCTCATGAAAGCTTATGCTCTAGTTCCCTAATAAACGTGTTATTCTTTAAAATGCTGCTGGACAAATTAACCCAGCTGCCCCTCGGATATCACCTTGTGTGTTTTGTGACATGCTGGTTAGCTCCCCTTGTCCCTTTCTCACGGTGTTTCAGACAAAATATCCATATTGATCACTGCTGTCCCATTGTCTTATCCCGTGCTAGGTTGGGGTGTCCTTGCGTGAGCCTGCTGTGATGTGTTTATCTATTGGTGGTGGGTTGTAGCAATGCTAGTAGGAGCTGTGCAGCGTTCATGTACAGACACTGTATTTACAGGCATTTGCTTCAGCACATCACCTGACTTCAGTTCCCAGCCTTTGGCTCAGACCTCTGGTCTTGCTCTGGGCTCTCTCCGACAGTTTGTGATGGCAGAGCAACTGGAGCTGCCGGGGGGCAAGCCAGGGGCAGTAACTCACTTTGTCCTACCCTCCTGGAGGGGGCCGGGCCGGGCCGGTAGTGCAGAAAGATGAGGTGTGGAATTGGTCAGTTATTCCATTCAAAAGTGTTTGTGAGAGACTGAGCATCCGGCGTGGGGGCCGGGGACGGACTGAGCATCCGGCAAGGGGGCCGGGGACGGACTGAGCATCCGGCAAGGGGGTTATATTCCGTTTTGCCTGCCTGCCTCCCTCTGCACTGTGGGATCCGCACAGTCACATGACTAGCATCTAGCACATGTCTCTCCCTCTTCTTCTCTCCCAGGGAAAGTAACGCGAAGGCCTGTCCAGTACTTCCTTTGCTTGTTTCCTCTCTGCTGTGCTCTGTGCTTTTCGCTGGGCGAGTCAATAGAGTCCTTAAATCCTGTGCAAATGTGTTCCGTGTTCTCCGGCTGCCCCGGGCAGAGCTTGGTGTCTGCAGAGGATCGCTCTAGCCTCGTGGTGGAAAGCGCCACCGTGCCTTGGGGACAGGGGCCGTTCCAAAGGCGGGTCCTCTGGGACCCCAAACTGCTTTGGTTTGCTTCCCTTCTGATTGCTCAGCTGTTTGGCTTTTGTTCTGCTGCCCATGGGGAGGAAGGGGCCAAAACATTTTCCATCTTGGCCAGCAAACGGGCCAGGGTGGCTGTGGCTTCGCCCAGCTGTTGTTCCGGAGCCGTAGGTGATCTTTTGGGGTTTATTTTTGGCACTTTTTAGACAAGATGGTGGTGGTTCCTGCCTTGTCTCTGCCAGACGCAGGGCCCCATGGGCTCCTTGACATTTTCAGCCCGAGATAACAAGGGCTTTTAATAGCTAATCTCCAGAGCACATCTTGAAATGCAAACAGCAGCCCACTGTGCAGCAGTAAGCAGGCTGCCTGGCTGTCAGAAAGCTGGGAGCTCAGCAAGCCTTCTCGGGCGCCTTTGCCGTTGGAGACTTGCAGTCGATACCCGGGTTTATCAGCGCATGTTTGTTTGTAGTTGGTTGCACCTCTTGCCTAGTGTGGGCACAGCCTGGCATCGTGGCCCTGGAGGAGTGCCAGTGGCCTGTCTGCAGTGAAGGGACCACGGTAAACGTGACGAATGCTGGCTCCACTTTCGCTGGCTCCCTTGTGAAAGCCAAGGGCTGGTTGAACTAGTGCAGCGTTGGGACGTGGACAGGGCCGCAGCCAGCGCTGAGTGGAGAATCGTGTTCGGGAGCCAAACTGCTGCTCTGCTATTTCCCAAAGCGGGTGCTTTCTTGTTAACTGGCATCTCTTTACTGTCCCTCTCGTTACAGCCCTCCCGCCTGCCTGGCACCTTCTGCGGGTCAGAATCTAGCTTCCCACCCCGCTCCTGACGATGCGGAGCAGCAGGCTGCTCTCCTCCTGGCATGTTCGGGGGACACTTTGCCAGCTACTCTCCCTCCAGTCAACATGTACGACCTGTTTGAGGCGTTACAGGTAACGTCCCATCCATTGTGGCCTGGCGTGGGGAGAAGCTCTTCTGAGCAGAGTGCTAGGCAGAGCCGACCCTGTCTGATCTGTCGTATGTACTTGGAGATTGGCCTATTGTCCCTCCTCCCCGCTGCCTGATTAAAACAGGCCATTTCCTTGTCTGCTCCTTAAAGCTGTGGCTATACGTGGAGCTGCCCAGAATTTTTGGCAGGGACTCTGGATTGGCCCCGCCAGCTAGGTAAATATTACCATGTAGCTGTGAGCACATCATGTGTTAGGTCACAGGTCCGCCCTCTGGGTTGTGCACAAGTCACAAGTGCTCACAGCCTCCCTCCCTGCATTCGATTGCTGCAGGCTTGGGCAGAAGTCCAGCAGACTGAGTTGCCACATAGATCCCTCTTTTCTTCATGTCCATGCTGGTACTTGGTACCTGCTGGACTGCCCAGCCGGTCCATCCCTGGCTTTGCATGGCTTGGGGCCGTAGACCAAGCGTTCTCAGCAGGACTCTGGAATCGGCTTTCCTTAAGTGCATGTGGTGAGGACTGTTTCCCAAGGCTTGTCCTGAGTGGGTGGCTTGAGGGCAGGTGGTCTCGTGGGCGTGAGTGCTGGCAAGCTAGAAACACGGCGCCACGCCAACCTTCGTGTTGCCCCGAGGACCTCGGGCAGGCTTATCGTAGAACTAGAGAAATGGGGGGCGCAGGCGTGGCCGTGTCTGGCTGCCAGTGGTTTCTAACGAGCACCCCATGCCCCCCCAGGTGCACAGAGAAGTTGTTCCAGCACATACCGTCTACGCTCTAAACATCGAGAGAATCGTCATGAAGCTTTGGCATCCAAACCACGAGGAGCTGCAGCAAGACAAAATCCATCGCCAGCGCCTGGCAGCAAAGGAGGGGCTGCTACCGTGCTAGCGTTAGCGTGGCCGGCGCCAGGCGAGCTGTCATTTCGTAGACTCGGCAGCGGCGGGGGTCTCCTCGGCTTTGCGGTGCTGAAAACGGTCGCAAATCTTGCCTCGTCGTGTCAGCATTTCAGACAGAAATGTGTAATGTGCATGAGCTTTCCCTATGGAAACGTGCCCGAGGTAGTTTACCGTGAAGCCATGGTCCGGCCAGCTCTGGGTTACTCTGACCGACCGCCGCTGCATTTGAAAGGGAACGGAAGTTCGACTGGCAGGAGAGGGAACTATTTAGTTTCAAGGAGACTAGGCAATGCTTTGGGTTAGTGGCTGGGAGGGAGCTGTCTGGCAGTGCAAGGGCTGTCCCTCGTGATGGTCGGTGACTGTTCGGCTTGCAGCCTGAACCACTGCGCTGAAAATCCAGGTGAAGGAACATGCCGGTGACAAAGTGCTTCCCTTTGGTGGTGCTCGGCCTTCCCAGGGAAGGGGTGAAATCCCTTCCCACAGCCACAGTGGCTGTCTGCATCCTCGCTTGCTTGCCCACTCATCGGCAGCAGGGGGAGCCCCAACCCTGCCAGTGTCTGATGGTGGAGCTGTGGGTATCACAGCTGGAGAGCTAGCTGGAAAGAAATGGGGATGTTGCAGGTGTCAGAGGTGTTGGGCTGGGCTTCGGGGGAGTCAGGATGCGGATGGTGCTGAATAGCTCCCCCAGTTAGACCCCACTGTGGGATGGGCAGACTCCTGCCCTGGCTCCTCCTCTGCCCTGCAGTGGTACAAAGTGCCAGGCGCCGGGCAGGGCAGCTGTAGAGTTAAAGGCACTGAAACCTGCCCTGCTCTGGCACATACCCACCCTGCCTACGCCTGGGCACAGGGCAGTTTGCTCTCACAGGCTACCTCAGGAGCAAGAGGCAGCCTCTCTGGGAGCCAATAGGAGGAGGAATATCCAGCGCACTCGCCATCAGATGGGTCGCCGTCTCCACGGCTGCTAGCGACTGTCGCAGTACGCAGTGACACCAGCCTGCCAGGGCCCTGAGTCGGAGGAATTTCCTCAGCTGGGATCAGAGCAATAAGAACACGATTTCCTCGTTTTATCCAAAACAAATGAATATTGCAGCCGCACATACCCTGATCCCGGTCTGCGTAAATACGACGGCAGCTGCGTTACAGTGGAGTAGAGGGGCACCCTTCCTAGGCGTTGACGTGACCTGCTGTGTTCTGGCCTGGTGGGCTCTGCCTATAGGTTTGGCTTCACCATCTGGTTAGTGAGTTGTCGGGCTGAGGGGTCGCCTCTCCTGAAGGGTAGGTGTGGCCGGAGTTCGCCGCCGCCGCCGCGTTTCCAGGTTGCTGCATGGGTGTTGCTGTTGGAAGCTGGCTTGAGGGGAAAGAAGGAAATGTGTGTCGAGAGGGAAAGCGGCTGGACAGGACTGTTTGGGGCGGGGGTCCCCCAATCTGCCATTGTACCTATGCAGGAAGCAGCAGCTAGGAGGGGAGGCTGAGGGGCCGTCTATACTGGTGCTGGAAGGCGGTGTCTCCAGTGAGAGGAAGCCTCCCTGCACCAGTGCGCTAAAGCTAGAAGGCTCACCGCCCCGAGGACGTGCCTGGGACTGCAGCCAGGGCAGCTCGCCGCTCTGCGGTGGCAGTGACGTTTCCGGGTGTACTGGTGCTACCTCGGCATTGGCACGCTGTGGCCGCTCGCCCTCCAGCTCCGGCGTGGCGTGGCGAGGCGTGGCGAGGCGTACCTTCCCTGCTTCCCAGCACGCTGCTCCTGGGGGAGCTGCACTGTGTGGCGCTAGGATACTCCAACCCGGAGCCAGGCTCCTCTCCTCGGGCTGCTGCCCGTCAGAGGGCTCCGCTCTCCCACCCAGTTGCTGATCTGCCAGGGACTCCCTTTCCCAAGCCGTACGTTGCAGGGCATGTGGCTGCTGTGGTGCCCCCTCAGTTGGTGCTTCCTGATTTTTCTGTAGCTTCCTGCTGGGGAGGGGATGCAGCTGGTG